GGGGAGGGTCATCCCTGTGCCCCCAAACCACAGGGATGGGATGGGCCTGGCCGTGGAGGGAGCTGGCATCCCTCTGTCTCTGGATGGGGCTGGCAGACTGGGGAGGTGTCATCCCTCTGCCCCCCCCCGAGCACGGTGCGTGGGATAAACCCCTCTGAGCCCTCCCTGCATGCCCACCACGGCTCTACCTGTGGGAAGGAGGGGCTGATGGACAGCAGGACTGTCCCCCAAGGCACAGCCAGGACCCCCAGGCACAGGGGGTCCCCCTGCCCAGCTACCCCTGCCCACCCCACAGGTTTCTGCTCAGTGGATCCCGGCACAGCTGCCGACACCCGATCCCCCATTTACGGACCCTTGGCCGTGCCAGGCTGGACGAGGGGCTGGGCAGCTGTCCCTGCTGAGGGGACATGGCCAGAGAGGGGCAGCTGGGGGGGGGCAGAGCTCAGGAGGACCAACGACAGCTCCAGAAAACACCAGCTCCAGCCTCATCCAGGGGCAGGGGCAGACCCTCAGACACCCCCTGTGCGTGCTGGGGGTCTCTCAGCAGTGCCCCCCCTCCCCAGCAGGGTGATGCCACCCCCGTTTATTCACCAGTAGAGTGATTTCTTCTGCATGGCCTCCCGCAGCTGGCGCTGCTCCTCCTCCCCCAGGCTGCCAAACTCGTACCGGGGGCTGAACTCGGCTGCGGGAGGGCTGGTGAACTTCACCTCGAAGGCCGAGGTGGGGAAGTCAATCTGGGGCAGAGGCAGAGGGTGAGGGGATCCACACGTGGAGCTCGGGGTGGGGGGGTGTCCCACGGAACCCCCCGTGCCAGGACGTACCTGCAGGATGACACTGTCGGGCTGGTGGAAGTTGGGGGCACTCGACCTGGCTTGGGAGTTGTCCTGGGTCGCTGGCCACAAGCCCAGGAGCTTCCTGCCACAGGTCAGGACCCTGGAGGAGGAGGAGGAGGGATGAGAGCCTGGCAGTGGGGGCCACTCTGCCAGGGCACGAGGGTGGCACCGCTGCAGTGGTGCTGTCCCCACGCTGGGGACCCCACGGCACTGGGGACCCTCCTGTGCCCCCCGGGGATGCCAGCACGGCCCCTTGGTGGTGGTGGGACACCCCACGTACTGCCTGAAGTTGAAGAGGGGGGTGGTCACCCAGCCCAGGGCCTCGGGGACCCGCCGCTGCTTGTTGGTGTCGGAGGAGCTGCCTGGGGGTGGGACGGGCACAGCGAAGAGCGTGACACTGAGCAGCGTCTCCCGTGGGAGATGGTTCACCTGGACTGGGAAGCAGATCCTGCAAGAGAACGATCAGAGAGAGGCTCAGCCATGCCAGGGACGGGCACTCCCAGCACACCCCATGGCTCCAGCCCCCCTCTTGGGATGCCAAGCGTGCCCCGGGACAGCCCAGCCCTACTGATGCCTTTACTGCTGGCACGGGGGTGCTCCGTGTCCCCACTGTGGGAT